ACACACACACACACACACACACACACACACACACACACACACACACACACACACACACACACACACACACACACACACGTACACGTACACATATATACCATCATACATGCATACATATTTACATATGAATATATACGCACATTCATTTTATTTATTATTATTATTTATGTAATGTTGAAATGACCTAATTTCTTGAATTGATTTCGAATGGTTTTAACTTTAAATAGTTCATTCTATTGTGAATTGTTCTGATTGATACTTTTGATCAATGTAAACAAATTACAGTGTGATAAAATTTTATTTTTTTTTATCCATTTCGATCGAAAATTATATTTTTATAAGATTTACGCGGAGTTCTTTTGTAAATAATCACATCGATCACTTTACACATGAAGCACTTTGTACATGAATATACATGTATAACGTCTTACTCTTATTGAACTTACCATTTAAACGGCAATAAATATTTTAGGATAGTAGGTAATACTATTAATGTCTCATTTGTTAGTATACCCACGACTACCTCTTCAGCAACATGTTCTGGTTCAAGCATCGGCATCAATCTGTAATATCGTTGTTACAAAGTATTGATTTTATAAATTGCTTGCAGGATGTAAAATGCAATACATAAATAATTGCCTAATTTTCTTTTCTAGCAGCTCTTGTTATCTACAAACTAGGTTTCTACAAACCTAGGTTTCACTCCATTGAACATTCCTGTATTTATAAGATAAGGGCAAACTAAAGTCATATGAATCCCTTCGTATCCATGTACCTTAAAATATATTAAATATATTAAAATATATAAAATATATTAAATAAATATTAAATAATTTATTAACAAGACAAAACTGTTTTATTTAATAATCGCGTTTCTTTACATACTTTAAGCTCAGTAAAAAGACTTTCATGACATCCAATAGCAGCAAATTTCGTTGCAGAATAATCTGTGCAATTATAAATTCCTAAAAGTCCAGCTACGCTTGCTATTGTCACAATATGGCCATGATTATTCTTCATCATATCTTTCAAAAATGCCTTTGTAATCTGTGAAAAAATAATAGCGTACCCAAGTGACGCGCGATTATCACGATAAAGTCGAGATGATGTCGAGAAACTTTATCACCCTTCGGTCAAAATAATTATATGACATCATCTTGACTTCATCGTAACAGTCGCGTGGACAGCTAATAAATATACGTCAGAATTTAGTCAGAAAATCATTGATCAAAAGTGATCAATGTAATGATATTAAAATGAGAAAAAAATATTTAACATTAAGTTTTATTTTTATGTCACATCACTAAATCAATATAATTATCAATTTTTGGCATTTTGACGTAGATATACTATCTGAGAAATAAATTACATAAGAAATTGTATAATAACTTTTGTAATAAAAAGAAATATTTAAATGACTTTAATTTTAACACTTACCCAATAATGCGATAAAATATTTATTTTAAAAGTTTGTTCAATTTCATAGTCAGGCAATTCCATAAAAGTCTTTCCGTATACATATCCAGCATTATTCACTAACAGCTTTACCTATGGGGACAATTATTTGCGCGATAAATTTAAATCTTTTTATTTTATTTATTAAAATGAAATTTATTTTTTAAAGAAAGTTATTAAAAGAGATGGCGTTAAATGCATGCCAATCATACTTGAATTTTTTAATATTTTTTTTTAAATATGTAATAGTAATTATATTAAAAAGTAGAAATACTTTTAATCTAAGATTGATGTTGCTTACGATCAGATAATTAAGGTAATAAGGACTAAGGATCATGGCATATAGAAAAACTTAAATAATAATATTTAAATAGAGATTTTTAAGAAAATCAAGCAATTATATTCGATTATTCTTTTTACGGTCGAAGAACAATCGTCTATAATAGGTCATTTTTCTTACTGCTTAAATTTTTCAGTTCAGATAAAAAACTATGCAAACAAAATCAAACAAATCTCAAGCATAAAAATTACTATATACTTAGAATTAAATAAGTTGTAACTATTAGAAACCGAAAATATGGTCTTGCATGATTTACATCGATGCCCAAAAATATTGTAAAGTTATCTTGTTTGAATTTCTATTAATTTTTTTTGATTTTTTAAAATTTTACTTACATTACCGATTTCAATTTGTACTGCTTTCGCAGTTTGATACACTTCTTCTTTGTCAGCAATATCACAATAATATGTCCAACATTTTCCACCAGTTTTTCTTATGGTTTCTGCAACGTCCGCAAGACCTGCATTTAACGTTTGCAATTATGTATATATCTTCTTAAATGGCTCTTTATTTTATATATCTTTATTTTATATATATCTTCTTGCATATATATCTTCATTAAAAAGATATTAAACCAAATGTGAATATAGAATATCATATCCAATAGTACTATTAAATTATTATAACTTCCAAATATATTTATACATGCTGTTGAAGACAGCATTTAATATTCATATGAAAAATAGTATTCACCATACTATTTAAAAAATCTTAGATCAGAAACTCTATTATTTCTGAGATTATATTATACTGTGATAATTTTGTATATATTGTTATATATAAAATTGTTTATATTTCAGAAATGATAGGATTTCCGAGCTGTGTGCGTGCGCGCGCGCGCGCGCGCGCGCGCGTGTGTGTGTGTGTGTGTGTGTGTGTGAGACGTTTTACTTTTGCAAATAATCGACTATTTAAATGTAGCATTATAATCGATTTACTTATGTTTTTTACGTATTTTCGACTTAATTGTGTTTTTTAATTATCCAAAATGTTTTATAATATAATGTGAAAATATATATTGTCGTTATGAGAAAAAATTTAAAATAATTTTGTAATTCAAAGAAATTTTATTACTTTGTTAATTTTTCTTAAGGCTCCTGACTACTCTTCACGGTCATATTAAATCATGACATCATATGAAAAGATATGTTGAGATTTCTTGCGTACCATTTGTAAATAGAGAAACATTTAGAAAAAATAATATGAGACCGCTTAGACACTCATGAAAATGGATGGCTACTTCGAACTTTCTTATTTCTTCAAAATTGAAAGAAGAAATGATTTCTGTGAATTTTATAACATAATTAAAGTCAATTAAAAGTTGCGAACTTTAGCACTACTCAGAATGCACAATTATGAAGTCCTGATCTCTGCCAAGAGATGCTAAGGGGGCTATATCTCTATGTGATGCATCCTGTATAGGGATAAAGCTGAAGCATCCTCAATTTTTATTTAATTTTAATTATATTATAAAACTTATAAAGACCATCTCTTCGTTCAATTTTGATAAAAAAGTTCGAAAAGGCAAAGTAATTTCAAATTCAACAGTGGCGATAACTCGAAAATAACGCATTTCCGGATTTACGTTCATATCAACCTTTTTTCTCGTTTTTGAGTTTCACAAGATCACAAGAAAAGTGACGAGTCTTCCAAACGATTGATTTTTGAAACATAAACCTGTGTAAAAGAGACAATAAAATAGCATACAATCTTAATATATGAATTAATATATTGCTTAATACATTGCTATATGATGATTTGGATGTGCGCGCGTGCATCTACTTTTATCTAAATTTTTTTATTAAAGAAAAGAAGAATTATTCTTGAAATATATAATTCCTTACCTTTTTTATTGATATCCCAAACGACTACATGTGCACCGAGTTTGGCGAGTTTAATTGCAATTAGTTTACCAATTCCACTGGCACCGCCCGTAACAAGAGCAATTTCACCCTTAATTGATTTTGCTCGATATCGACGAGGAACTAATGTCAACACTAAGGCCTCGATGAAGTAAATTATCGTCATGCCAATGAATAGAAATAAATCGTAGAGTATATGTGCGCCTTCCTTCAGATTTATCATGTTATAATCTAAATATTATAAAAAAATATTACAAATTATTGATTATTTTTATTATTGATTCTTATTAGAGAGAAAAGTAATTTATTAATTAAAATAATACATGATATGGCAAAAGAAATATTCGTTTAAAATGGTGTTAAAAACAAACTATCATTACTACATTAGAGCTCGAGATAAGCACATTCAAAGTACTCTCCTTCTATAACTACACTTGTCAGCAGTTTTGTGTGTGTGCTAATTTAGATTAGATTTAAATTGATACTAAAAGATTTTTCTCATCTTTTAAAATGACATCTCTACTTATTTCTTACTTCTTTTACTTCTTTTACTTCTTATTTTGAGAAAATAAATTTTTTGTATTTTTTTTTTTTT